AGCCACATATTTTTTAAGATCAACGGCCAATATTCAATCTTGTTTTCTATAAATACCCCCTCCCCACACCTCATTTCGTCCTAACCTCATGGAAACCTTGAGAAAACTCTTACAAAATAAATTCTAAAGAGAGAAAGAAGAAGGGGAGAGAAAGGCTATGTGATCCTATGTAAGATCAAGCTCCAAAACAAGGTACGTTTATGGTTTTTGATGTAGTTTTTACTACCCTTGTTGTTGTTGAGCTTGGTTATGGATTTTAATGATTTTTGAAAGCTTGAAACCCTAGGAGGGCATACTGCACGAAATTTTTAAGGATAGGGGGAGATGAAATTGATGTTAGAATAATGTTTAAAGGCTTGAGAGGAACAAGAATCAAGTGGTTTTGTGTTGAAATTGGTTGAATTCCATGATTGTGCAACTTGAGTAGTAATTTAGCCAGACCTGGTTCTTGTGCCTAGGATGTGATTTTGATGATTTTAATGTTTCCAATATGTTTAAAATAAAAAATTATGTAGGGTAAAGGTGAGAAAACAAGTTTGGAAGCATTAGAATTGAAAATAAAAATTTTGGACCCTAAAGGCATACTATTCGGTCAAGGATGGTTCATGGGGAAGGAGTTTGATTTTGATTATTTTGAGCTTGGAAATGGATTATAAATGCAAAATTGTGAGGGAATAGCATGTGGAATTAATTTTAGAAAGATTGTAAATCAAGCTCAAAAGTTAGAAGTTAATATAGTTTAGAGAAAACAAAGTATTGACGTTGTTGATTATCATGGCTCTAATGAATAAATGGAAATGATGTGTTGATGCATTTAGGGTTATGAGACATTGAGGAAGATGAATGGAAAAGGTTGAGCAAGCAACCTTAATGGCTGGTAGCAAAGGGAGCAAGGGGAAGTAAAGAGAATGTTTAAAGACATAAGGTAGCAAACTTGACCTTACTCTTATATGCTTGGTATTTGCTTGCATGTATGACATATTTCTATGTTATATGATTTTATGAACTCATGTGTTGTGATTGTGAATGTGTTTGAAATATGCTATAGGCCTATGTGTTTTATGATAAATGCATGATGACTTCCAGACATATCATTATGTTATAAAGATGTTGAGTTGCAAGCATGTTATAAATGCCAAGCTTGCCATGCATGTTTTAGGTAGTTATTGTTTGCTATTGAGATTCTCCTAAATCTCACCCCTCCCTAACCAACTATTTAGGTCAATCAATGATGCACAATGATTGCATGAAGGAGAGCATGAGAAGAAAGGAGAAGAAAGTGGAGAATTATTGACGTTAATGATTGGTTAAGGATTTAAGTATGATTCTCCTATTATGTAAATTATGTATATGAATGTCAATGATGTAATGTATTTGTTTAGAATATTTATGGAATGAATGGAAAGGTATAAGAATGACTGGGAAAGGATAGGGCCAAGCTATACATGCCAAAACAATAAAAAGAATTAAAGCAAGAATTGTCTAACAGATAAAATGTAGGTCCTAGAGCAGTCAGTTTTCAGCTCTAGTTTGACCTACCAAATGTATTAGTTAAGCCATGAAACTTGGCAGAGGTATTATACACATCGCAAGCTTTAAAATGATAGGTAGATCACCTCAATTGGATGTGTATACTAAGAGATACGAATTTTCAAAATTGAGCCAAGAAAACTGGAAGTTCCAGAATTTATCAAATGAATAGTGATTTTCATGGATTAAACTGTATGAATTGGCTTGAGATAAGTCTAGTTTGATATTTTTCTCCTATGGAGAATTGAAAGGGATTTGAGTAGAATTTTGCAGCACCTCAATACGATTTTTATAAAATTAGTTATGATTTTTCAAAGTTGGACCAAAAATCTAAAATTTAATTGGTAAACAGTAATCCAAGAACTAATTGCAAATTTTCAATCTACGGACTTGTTTCATAAATTGCTTGAACTGTAATCCTTCCAGATACACACTCTGAGGGATTAAAGAAAGGATATTTCATATTGCACTTACCTGTTGGCCAGTTGCCTTCACCTGCCTCCTTACGGAGGAATTACAACTTATATTTATATATACAAAGATCTAATATAATCTCAAAAATATAATAGTTGCAACTTATGTACAAGTAGTATTTAGGCCATGGTTAATAATCCATTCAAGGAAAATGTCACATATTTCTCATGCTTAATTATAGCATAATGACACAAACAAAAATCCAACAATCATAACACAAGCATATGATATTACCTAATGTGCCTTCTTGCAAGTCAAACCTTATATTCCTCTTTTTCTAGTGTTTCCTTGACGGATTCGGGCAAATATCAAAACTTATTATGTTTGTAAGGGTAGGTTAACACTTATTTCATCTATAACTTATATCTTAAATAAATTCCCCTAAACCCCAACTCTACTCAAACCATACCCTTACTAGATAGTTGAGCATCTTGGGCAAAAATATCATATTTATGTATTACATTTGAGGACATTCAAAATGTCCTCCCTCTTGCTTCACTTAATACCCTTTTTACATGATCAATTCACATCTAGTTCCAATTTATAAGATCAAGTTTCTTCCTCTCTTAGCACCCATAGGCCAAAATGCACACATGCACACGCATATATCTATAAAATTTCATTACCATTCTATTGCTTTTAGACTTGAGCAACTTTAATATGCATGTATCAGCTAGTTCTTATATATTATTCTCAAAAAATTAGCCAATTCAACCTTTACCCTCAACTCCAACTGACCGAAACAAAGGAAAAGAAAATCATGCAATATTTATACGCTATTATATCCAAACCCTATAACAGTCCAACCAGTGCCCATGGCAACTCTGATTCGCTAATCTAAAATATTGTTCAGCATTTGAAAACACAAAACAGTGTATTTTAAATCAGATTTTGGTTTCAAAATTCAACAGTCATTTCTCTCACTGAAATTCCAAATCATTTTCTACCTCAACTCTTTGGTTTCCTACCAAAAGCGCGCGCGCATGATAAATCCTAATATTTTCATATACTTCTTTGTTTAATCTTAAGCTTTTGACATTATTAATTGATTTAAGGAATAATTTGGGTTAAATGTGCATGGTTGATAATGAATACATCTTGGGAGTTTTATGTGTTGATGGATGTGGGTTAAGTGGTTCAGTTAGCTTGTTAGTTTAGTGATTTGTCCAAAAAGAGAGTAATTCGGTGTTCAATAATCAGTTCATTTTAGGCATCTTTAAGTGCTTTCAATGAACTTAACATAGCCTAAGGTATTAGCTGGCCGGTGATTTGTGATTTGAGAGTTTAGGTGGTCATCTAATTGCTTCATGACCTAATAAAGAAGAAAACTAATCAATTGGGACTAGGAAAGCTAATGGACTCACTTACCAAGAAATACCATTATCATTGCATCAATCTCACATTAGTCATTCATTTTCATTGAAGAAAACTCATAAACAAGTCCTTTAGAGGCATACGACCTACGTTATCCCTATGATATAGGGTAATAGTCTATTATATCTTAAAGGGCGCACTTGACTTTCACTTGACGTTTCAGACAGCAACCATTGAAGGTTTCCCAGCTTCAAAAACGCACCCCCTGCATACACTACAACCATATTACCATCTTTTAATTATCCCTTTCCTTTTATTATATTACCTCTAATGCTTAATATAAGATCTAATTGTTATATTAAGGACGGGAGGTATAACTTCATGTGGCAGCCATTTAAAATATGAAATTCCATATATCCAAAATTGTTTCCTCCTTCAACAAACTTCACATGCAAGACTATCTACTCACATGCAATCTCGCATCCCCCATTCTTAAACCTCTATGCTCGCCTAACCCCCTTATTTTAAACGAGGCTATATCCATATAGAACAAACAAGCCCCAACATTAAAAAGAACTCAGCCTCCATCCCTCACATGCACAAGCTTATATCGAACCCTAATCCACTTATTCTTCCCTTTTTCCCACAAACACCACATTTTCACATCATCAACATCACGAACAAGATCCAGCAGAGAAGATGAAGATAAGAGAGGGTTTAGGTGAAGAATGAGGAGAGGAAGAGTAACCATTAAAACTATTTTAATTTAGGATGTTACAAAGGATACCTCTAAATTTTATTAATAATCATTGCTTTATTAATGATAAAACCAATAATGCCAAAAAATATCAATGATAAAACCAAAGGAAAACGCTGGTTTGGTCAATGACACAGACAACCCAACAAAACCAAATCACAGAATAGGATATAGGGCCTATCACCTGTTTACAAAAGTAAGACCTCTCACACCAATGACCTTAGCTAATACTTGATCCACGAATGCAAGCTCAAGAGATATCTGAAAATTTTTCAATAATTTTTTATTTTAACAGATGCATAATATAAAAATAAAATAGTCTTTTAATATCTATTTTTTAAATAAATTTATACATTAAAAATTTAATTACAAACTAGTCAAACCGAATTCAAATCGTCCAAGTTTCATGGCAATGAATAATAAACATGTTGTACTTATCTTAATGTTTGTTTCCGTATGACATTTTATATGGGGTTCACATCATTTTTTTTAAAACGAAGAATATGATGTTGACACGTATTTATGTATTTTATAGGACTTCATTTTTATGAATGTAAAGGATCTGAGGAGTATGTTAAATGCTTTGAATATGATAATAATTTTTGTCCTGAATCATGTGCTTATATTCTAAATTTCGTGTCAATTAATTGCTCATTTTTATATCTGCGACTAACTTGACAAGATGGAATTGAGCCAAACCACTAACTACCAAATTATCATTTATTCTTTATAAAAAATGTGATAACTCCCAATATTTTAATGATTTAAATCACTATTATCCACCTCTATGTATTTATTTTTCCAGATTCTGACGCAAGTATGATAATTAATTGTGCTCTGGGTTGCTGTATATATATCTATACTAAATAGAGCAAAATTTTATTAGATAAGTGTCTCTTCAACCGCTTGCAAAAATACCACAAAGATGGAGAGCGAAAACGGCACCCAGTCATATGAAGCATTCCCGATGTATGGTGGCCAAGGCCAATATAGCTATGCTCAAAATTCTAACCATCAGGTTCTTCAATATCTCACCACTGTTTTTTTTTACCCCCACTTTCTTCTTTTATTCTATATTTTTCCATTAAGGCCATGGCTTTGTTAACATGTTGTTCAAACTAAATTTTTCTCCCCAACAATTTGAAAGGTAAAATTTTGGTCTTGAATTCAGACTTTTAATATTAATGTATTTGCATATGCATACACACATATATTTCTCCTTCAATTCAAAAATTTTTCATATGCATGACAAAAAAGAAGTGTAGTTTCTAAATACTTTGTTTCATGCAAAGTTTAACGTTTAATCTTTGCTTTTGCAGCGAAAGGTAGCAGATGTTACCAAGCACATTATAAGAGATGCCATTCTTGAGATGCTTGATCTTGAAACACTTCTACATGATTCCTCCAATATTATCCGAATTGCTGATTTGGGATGTTCTGTCGGGCCTAACACTTTCTTCATTGTTCAAAACATTATAGACTCTGTGAACCTCAAATCTCAATCTCATCAAGAACATGGTTTTGATTCACCTGAATTTCAAGTGTTCTTCAATGACCATGTTGGTAATGATTTCAACACACTTTTCAAGTCCCTTCCCATGAACAAGCAATATTATGCAGCTGCAGTGCCAGGTTCATTTCATGGCAGATTGTTTCCAGAATCAAGCATTCATGTTTTCAACTCAACTTATGCTCTTCATTGGCTCTCAAGGGTACCTAAAGACATAGTTGACAAGAACTCTCCTGCTTATAATAAAGGCAAAATTTATTATACAAATGAGGAGAAGGAAGTTGCAGAGGCATATTCTGCACAATTTGAAAGAGACCTTGAAAGCTTCCTAAATTCTAGAGCCTTGGAACTTGTTCCTGGTGGTATCATGACTCTCACCATTTTCTGCGTCCCACCAGATTCTAAGAATGGATTTGAAGTTCTTGTAAATGTCATGGGAGATGTTCTTGTGGACATGGCTAATAAGGTAATAAGAAATGTTCTACCCTAATTCTCTATTGTAAGGAGAGAGATAGACGGATATATATATATATATATATATAGCTATATCTGAGATTTATCTAACATGTGAGATGGTGGTATTATGGGGGAGAAATAGAATCAAAATATTCTCTCTGTATGATTTCATAATTCATGCAATCCACTTAATTCCTTCTACCTATTCTTTTGTTAATATTTGATCTTTGATTTTAATCGACATATTTTGTGAATGAAGGGATTAATAAGCCACGAAATGGTAGATTCCTTCAACATACCTATCTACACACCAGCATCAGAAGAGGTAAGAGTCTTGATTGAGAAGAATGGGAAATTCAAAATTGAGAAATCAGAATTATTATTTCGCTTGTTTGGCGATGTGAATCAACAGCCAAATGCCCAGACAATCTGTACGCAAATGAGAGCTGTGTGGGAAGGACTTTTCAAGAAGCATTTTGAACAAGATGATGTTGTGGATGAGATTTTTATTCAATATGAGAAGAAATTGGCAGAAACCACATTATTTCCATTTTCGAAGCCAAGTTACAAGCAGTTGGGTGGATTATATGTCATGAGGCGTACTCTTGTTTAATACAGTGAATGAAACAACATGATTATTCAATAATAAGAGCTTGTGTTGTATCAAGAAGAAGGAGAAGGAGAAGAAGTGTTTTTGTGAGTATTTGGGTCTAACGTCTCCATGGAACATATTCTATAAACATTAGTTTTTCATGGTTCTGTAACGGGTTAAGATGTAATTTTATCTTGAAAGTTTTCACTAAGAAACTATATGTATCTGAAAGTTTTTTTTTAAAAAATCAATATAACATCGGAAGTACTAAAAAAAGGTATAACGTCGCCCCTAGCCATTAAAAATATTAATGATTAACAGTAGTTTTTTAATAGTCAATGTTTTTTTTTAAATGGTTAAGGCGATATTGCTCCTTTTTTGACACTTCCGTGATAATATTGATTTAACAAAATTTTTTGGATACCCACAGTTCCTATCCACAAACTTTCCGAGTAAAATGACAACCTTAACCCTTGAATAATTTGTAAAAGCTTGTGAAGTACCTATTACATTATTCAAAATATAACCCTTCTAAATTTCCAATGATAGGACACATTATATATTTTTCAATGTTTACAGTACGTTTTTATTAGGGACAAAAATGAAAACCAAAATAATTTTCAAATAATTTTAATTATGTAACTAACTGGTTTTGATTATTCCAATAAGATAGTTATTAAAGTAAAATTATATTAAAGATTGAATGGGAGTATACTGAAAAGAACCAGTATCACTAAATAATAACTTTTCTTATCTATGATGGGGAAAAAAGACTTTTCTTATACTATTTTTTCTATCCACATAACGCAAAAGCTCATGTAACTCATTTTAGGTATAATCTAACCATTCCATTGATTTAGGTGTGTTAATATTTTTTTATTAAGAATATAAGGGAGAATTGCTTTTCATTAGAAACGTTTTCTAAGTAATAGTGGACTTCTTTTTCATAAGACAGTTTTTCATTGTGCAGTTTACTATATAGATTCGGATAAAATTCTACCATTTGATTTGATTTGATATAAATAGAATAAACATATTAAGCTTAGTTTTCTCAATGCATGAGAAATAATGAGAGAATTAATATTTCTTTCTTCTATATTCTGGGCATACCCAAGTTTGTTTGATCCGCGCAAATTAAAAATCAAATTCCAACCAAAGTTACAAAGCTAATATTGTATTTTCATTTGAGAAAACTCTCTCCAATAATTTTTTTCCCCCAATGAGAGTATTTCTATCATATCCATGAAGTTTGCTGTTGGACTGTTTTATTTAATGGATCAACTAGGACAATAAAATAACAAACGACAACGAAAGATTAAAAAGACACGGAGCAAAAGAACAAAGCGGCTGAAAACGACATGGCACCGAACGAGCATCACGCCGAACTGTGGTGCATCAAAAATATGACGAACAGTTGAAATGATTTGAATGATAAATTTATTATTAATTGATATTGTAAAGGGAAAATCTCCCAAAAAACCTTTAAAATTTTAAAATCCAAAATTAAGAAGGACTATAAAAGTATGTTATCATTTGATTTTCAAATATTGTTAATTGTTATCAAAGTGTGGTAGACAAGGCTGATTTGAAATTTTAAAATTTAAATGTATTTTTTTTTTTTTGGAATTCTCCCTGTTTTAAATGCATGAATCTCATTCTGAACAATAAACAGTAATTTATACATGTCTCTACTGCCTATTTAATTATTATACACTACCTTCTGTCCTTAATATAAAAGTTTGATAATTAGTTTAATTTATTTGTCACAAATGTGTATTAATCTTCCTAAACTGTAATTTTAAATTATGTGAAATTATCTCTTGGTGGGGAAAGATGAGAGACAAAATGGATTGGAGTCTTATAGTTATCACAAAATTTAATCCCTAACTAGCTCTTATATTAAAGATTTGTTTTGTTTGTTTGTTTGGTAATGAACATAGTTTAATTTGTTTGTTACGTTGTATAAAGACTGCTTGATGAGACTTTAATTTTTTCCCAAACAAAAATATTATCTTTATCGCAATATAATCACTTGTCCCTTCGAAATTGATGAAAACTTATTGATCTGTTATGTGTATATAGTATAATTCTTTAAGTAGTCAAATACCAACTTGTCTTATCGTGAATTGGGCGTTTTGATTTATTTGGCAGTTGGGACTACTCTTAATGCTTTTTCATAACAAACGTTGTGAATTTGACATTTATTTTTCTATCTCTAATAATAACGAGAAAGGGGGGAAAAACAATCTGGATTGATTTCACTTTAAAGTGCAAGATGAAAAACAAACTTCAGCTCCGATTCCACTAGTTAACATTTTGTAATTTTTTTTTTTTGATAAAAGGTCAAGTATATATTAAAACCAAAAGATATATGAAGTCAGATAAAAACATACATCAATACCAAATAGTGGAAGGTAAACTGAAAAACCACTCATGCATGGAAGATAACAATAGTAGTAAACTTGTAACCATAAAAGGAACATATGTACAATAATAAACTAGCAAACACGACGAGACTCTTTGTCACATCTCCATGATATCTGAATTGATATTAACTTCGAACAAATGTGTCTTGATGCTCGACCTTCAGAAGATACCCAAGGGCACCTATCAGAAACTGATTTGATAAAGGAGTAATGGAAACCGTCATACCTAGCAGTTCGAAACCTTTAACAACAACAACAAAATCTTATCCCACTAAGTAGAGGCGGTCACATCAATTGCACGATGCTGCTGAGCTCTATCCAAGGCCAACACACAATGCACAGCGTTCTTTTAGTCCACCATTGTTATTGAACTTGAAGAAACCAACAGCCAACGCAGTCAACCAGTAGAAACAAATGTAATTACACTATAATAGAAAAATGGCATCCCCTCCATGAGTAGTTAAAACACATATATTGGTAATCTCCATAAACACAACCAAATTTTTTTTTCAAAAAAAAAAACCCAACTAGTAGCAAACATAAACCATTCAAACTTCAAAAGCCATAAACCCCACAATCTACTGATTTGAATGAAAAATTACCAGGTTCAAGTAAGAATATCAAATACAGATAGGTTCCTAAAAATTTATTTAAAACAAACAGGTCCAAAAAAATTAATATATAAAAATTTGACTCATAAAATTTTGTTAGAAACATTTATAACATATTTAGTCTATTAATTAATCAAATTTCCATTCAAGGCTTTTATGTATACATTAAATACAAAAATTAATTTGCTGGCAAAAAAATTAATTAATTAATTTTCCATCTCAATATGATAAAAACACTAAACAAATTAAATAACTATTTGTAAAAGTATAAAATAATATTAAGGAAAAAACTAAATTCGTCAAAACTTTCTAGTCAAAATTTAGGAATTTATTGTTTGAGGGGTAAATTACTAAATAAACAGTATCTTAATATAAATTTTAATTAAAAAAGTATCTTCTTTAGAATATTCTTAATGAAGTTAACAGTTTGAACTTAAGTGTATGTTTTCAAGATAGAGGAGAGGTTGGTGTAATTAGAGCAAAATGCAAGGGAGGTCAAAGTATTTTATTCAAATTAAAAATATTAAAAGAACCATTAAATTTTTTTTAATAAAAAGACAATTTTATTCAATATAAGTAAAATAATCGTATAAAAAGGCCGGCCAGTCACATTTGGTCAATTTGAACAAAGCTCAAATGAACCAAGGAGAAGACCAGCCGAAAACTACTAAAACATGACAAGAGTAGACAAAGTAACAACCAAAACAAAAAACAAAAAATAAAAAAAAAATAAAAAAAGAACACAAGTAGCAATACATCCTGCAACATCGACTTCATGATTTAAGGTCAGCAAGGAAGACTCAAAGCAAAATACGAGCTGCAGCTCACACCAAGACTCTGCCATCCGTGGCGCTTCAGGAAGTCTCAATGACCATAAGTATCCTTTGTGCTTATTATTGTGCTGAGCAGAAGCCATCAAACTATGTCACTATGAGCCGAAGTTCATGTGTGGGTAACCCATAGGGTAATGAAAAAGTCCCTGGTAGAATACACCAGCGAGCAAATTCTTGGCATGAAAGCCAAGGCAAAGATTAATTATGAACATGGTAGAAAGTGGAAGAGCAGATGAATATAATGTCACTAAAATGAAAACATGGGCCCTCAAATTTATGTAAAGTGGAATTAGTGGGACCCATACCTCTCCTCAAATCAACATATACCAAATTAGACTGTGCCCTTGCGTAGAATCATTGTGGAGAAATACAGTCTTACATGAAGAAGTAAAATAACACATCCAGGCGCAATTATACAAAAAATTTCTCTGGTTTAATTAATTTTACAAGCTTGGCTTTTTCTTCTCAGACCCAGTAAAGGAATATAGTTAAAACTCCTACGTAATCTCAAAATTCAAATGTTGAGGCTTGTCATTCTAGTTGGATTATCATTCTAGCTAAGCAAAAGGTGCGCATGATCCTGATTGTCATGTTTATATATTCACCTAGAGGGAACTCCTTTGCCTCACTTCGGACATGTGGCTTCTCCAATTTATTTATATATTATCCTTCGCTTAGGAGCAATTCTGAGTTGGATTTATTGTTCAGGTTTCATATTAGAATTCAACAAGCTCAACATTGTAACGACTCAATATGAGGATATGCATAAAAAAAGGCCACGTGTCAAGGAAATGGAAAAAGCAATGTGTTTATCACGAGGATGTTGCAGATGCATGTGGGAGTAAGTGGTGTAGAGATGGTTACACTATATTAAGGGGGAGGCTATATGAGAATGGGTGTGGATGACTTGGATGATCTTCTCTCTGGTCCCATTCTTTGGGAAACTTCTCTCTGCGGCTTTCTTCTTCTTCCCTCTCCCTTGTGTATGCTTCCTCTATTTTCCTATTAATTCATTTAACAGTGTTTTTTCAATGTATTTTTAGATGCTTATGGCTGTTACAAACTGAATTGAATCGTAAATACGTACTTGTTATTCCATTGTGCTAAGATATTACAATTTAGATCGTTACAAACATCACTTGTGGCAAAAA